AATTGGTCGAAATGGCAATCTTTAAACCCTCATAACTTTACGAAAAATAATCACAGGTGAAAGATTTTTTCAAATTTAAGCTCAGGACAACAAAACTTTTTGAATGATTAAAAAAATTCTGTCAAAAATGGCCAGATAAAAAGTCCAAATTTGTCTGAAGAAAAAAAAACCCATCCCGAGCAAAAATATTCCGTTACTTTCGTATGAAAGTCGGAACAAAAAGATAGATTTCGTTCCTTGTAACAAATCAATTATGGTAAATAAGCTTCGTTCAACCAATTTGGAACGATTTCTAACACGGATTAAATCTCCGCTTACGCGTTAATAGCGCGAAGTATATCGCGCGTTAATTGTCCCAAATTGGCCAAAATGGCAATCTTTAAACCCTACTTTACGAAAAATGATCACAGGTGAAATATCTTTTCAAATTTGAGCTCAAGACAATAATAGCTTTCGAATGATAAAAAAAATTGCGTCAAAAATGGCTAGTTAAAAAGTCGAAATTTGTCTGAAGAAAAAAAACGCACCCCGAGCACAAATATTCCGTTACGTTCGTATCGAAATTCGGAACAACTAGATTATAATGAGCAGATTATCAAGTTTGTATATTTTTGTATATTTGTTTTGATGAGTGTTTGTTTTTATTTCATTATGATATGATTTTCATTCACAGCCGATGAAAAATCCAAAAAACTGATTTCGTTTTTAATTTTTTTTTGCAAAACTACACAATTTAATATAAGATGATGTAACATTTCAACTGCGTCGCCTTTTTAACACTCTAAGTCACGTTAATCTAAAAATTGATTTTTAAAGCCGATTAAACACTGACCAAAAGCACCTGCAGAATTAACCCCAACTAATCTATATCTAACTCATTCACTCCCAAAAGCAGCAGTAATCTCTCATTTAGGAAACAAAAACACGGTAAAAGGTTGATTTGACTATAAAAAAACTGAGGGTGAATGTGAATTCAATCCCTCCATTATACCATTTTGTCTGCTGATTTGATTGTTTTTTTCGGTGTGTTCAATACGTATTCAGTATTCACAGTCTGTGAATTTGATCGTGTATCGTGTCTGTTGAAGGCGAAGTGGAGTTATTAACTAGTCATAAATTAGTTATAACGGGGGACAAAAAGGGCGCAGTTGTATTTTTGGATGTAGTTTGCAGGTGTAATACCATGTCACTCACTGTCAGTGGTGTTATTAGGTGGTATGAAATGGCCAAGCGGGTAAATTGGTTTCCCTCCCCCTCCCCTTATACAAAGCTCTCATCGCACAAATAATTGAACTATATTAATTTGTTTCTACCATTTTTAATGCCACGTTGTTTCAAATAAAATAGTCTGAAAATTTTCAGAACCAATTATAAGATAAATTTTCAAAAAAAAAATCGAACTAATTAAAAACATCTGACGCAGTAGTCACATTATCGCCAAAATTATCGATGCCTTGAGCACAATAAAAGCAATTCAAATTTGATTGGTTTTTGTTAGGTGACGAAAGTTTGAAAATTACCAATTTGGAGCGTATCATTCACGACGAATTAGAGCAATAAAGAAACCATTATAAAATTGCTTTAAGATACACTAATCGGTTTTAATGATGTGTTGGGAGCTGCAAATTTTATCGCTTTGTATTTTTAAAATATTGACAAAGTTATGCTTCAGACACATTAAGAAGCAGCTAGACAAATCAGGATTTTTGCTCCGACTCACGAAGAAAATGCGGCATGTTTATGCTTGGGATTGTGTTTTGTATTCAAATTTGTATTTTCCACCAGGCGTTCTTGCAGACTAGTTTTAAAACTCCCTTCAAGATATTGTTGTTCAGAGCTAACATTAAATTCACCTGTGAATATTTTTTTTAAGTAAAATGGAGTTTGAAAATGGCTAATTTATCCAATATGAAACAATTACTGCGAGATAGATTGCGTTCTTTTAACACGCGTTAGCGCAGTATTGAATTGTTCAAATTGAATTTAGGCAAGTCATTATTTGCATTTTTGAAAAAAATTGACGGAATAGTTGGGCGTAGGGGTGTTTTTTTCCGATCAATCTCGATTTTTTCATTAGCCATTTTGAATGGAGTTTTTTACCATCTGAAACCGGTGATGGCAAAACCATCTACTATCATCTGAAAGCCCGTGATGTCTTGCAACTAAATTTAAAAATCAATTTTAATTATCTTCATTTTGTTGTGAAACATTATTGTTTTTAAATTGACAATTAACGCGCAAAATTTGTTGGACTATTTAAGTATCAGTTTGTTCCAATTTGAATTGGAGCAAAATGTTTGGTTTTACTAAAAAGCTACCAGACGCTAAAAAAGACTGCTCTTTTATCAGGGCAAATCCCTGAACGTTCCGACTGTCCCTTAATTCATATCGAAAAGTTTTTGAGTAAAAAACAAATTATTGAAAATCCATAAACTTTGAGTCGTGCTTAATTAAAACGACCGATTAACTAGCCTCAATTGATTTTGGAATGAATTGTTGTGCGGGATAATTCGCCACGCATAAGTAATTCGCGTTACGCTCTCAGCATTATGAAAAAACTCTTAAATGCGAGCATAAGTTAATCCAGAAAATGTCCAATTTGGCAATTTTCAACCCCTAGAACTTCACAAAAAATATTTTGAATTCGAATTTGAAATCAAGAAGTCGATATCTTCAATGGGGTTTAAAAGTTTTTGAAAATGAACTCAAGAAGTCGATATCTTCAATGGGGTTTAAAATGTTTTGTTGAAAGATATTATTTTGATCAGCGAAAATTGACTGAAGAAAAAACCCACACCGAGCATAAATATACCGTTTTTTTTCGAAAGTCGGAACTATGAATCATCTTGCTTACGGCATGGCGTAAAAAAGTCCAAAAATCACACTTTTTTAAAATATTTTTTAAAACTGAGATATTTTTATTTTGCGCAAAATCAGGCACCACATAGACATGTCGTGAGAATCTGATATATGTCATATTCAGGTAATTTTAGCCGTGATTCGAACTTCATTTGAAAATCTAAAAAAGCTTTCTGGATGACCTCGAAGGTTTTTTACTTTTTGAACAGACCTAGAGCAAAAAAAATTGTTGAAACAACTACATACAGTTTTGAGGAAAATCATATTTGCTAGTAGAGCAATGGCTCAAACTTTAAAGACAAAAGAAAAAAATCAGAACGAATCGTGAGAAGACATCAAAAACGAGAAAAAAATTCACAGTCATGGCATACAAACTGCAAACTGTATCTGAAAATTTCGTAATAAGAGGGCTTTTATTTTACAATTTAACGAGGTTTAATTTGGTAACTTTCTCAAAATTTCTGCTAAACCATCCTTCTTTCAAGTTTTTGCCTCTGCAATTTTTTTGGTGAGAAGTTTTACGCAAATGAAGTTTTATAGCCTCGATTGCATATTTTGAAGAAAAAAAAACATTATAAGACTTGCCGGTAGAAAACTGGATATGATGGTATTCCCATTCACCGTTTGGATAAAATAGTGGTCGTAACTTTTGCGGGTGTTAAGATTGCAAGCTTCGATTAACTAATTGAGTCTTCACTGGGAGATATTCGAGCCCAGTGGTGACTATCTTTAGCCGATGGGTTGAATTTCAACTTTAGGGCTGTGGATGCTTCTTTTGAAGTGAGATATCTAATTGATATCTTCTAATCAAGGAGAGAATATTGCAGTTTGATGGTCAGATTAAGGCCTCAAAATACTTTGATCCCCCTCACTTTCCATATCTCAGCCTTCTCTGCTGTCTCCTGCATCAAATGCTCTTAAGTCACAAGTAGCGCCATTCAATCAACTTCCCATATTCTTACTACTTCAAAAGTAAATGCAAGAATCAGACTATGATTGCTTAAAATGGCCAGACAACTTATCTTTTGTGAAGTTACTTTTTAATTCTCTTTCGGTCTTCTTCTTTTTACTATTTTTTTTGTTGTTTTTTGCCTTTTTTTTTATCTTACTGTGTTCTTCATTTTGAAGTTCTATTTGATTTTTTTCTGATTGTTTTTTATTATTTTTAGTCTCATTGTTTTTCTTTTTCGTCTTTTTTCGTTCTTTTTTGGTTATTTCTCAAAATTTTTTTTTCCTTTTCCACTGATTTTTCTTTGTATTTTTGAGTTGAATGAAATGAAAGTGCGATAAATTTAAGCAAGTGCCGAGGGCATCTTCGCTAGTATATAGGAGTTTGTGGGGGTATGGATGGAGTAAGAAGAGAGTTGATGTGTGATGCCAGCCCTGTTCGATTGTGGCAGTGCCGCTCCGAATTCTAATGAGCTACTTGTTCTTTTCACTCCCTCGGGGCAATCATACCATCATTACAGATCTATCAGACGCCACGCGGGGGATACCTATTCCATTCCCCCTCTTTAAACCTGCCCTCTTTTTTACCCCTTTTGCAATCCCCATGTCGCCTGATTAGCATACATTCACGCTGTAAACAACGTCTGATAAAAATTAATCAAAGGCCAAGTTATGTGAAACACTATAAATTATAAGTAATTTGTGCGACCTAATTTAAATTATGCTAAATGAGCTCGACCTCATTTTGTCGGCTCACTGACCTTTTGGCTTGCTTGTAGCTGTGTTCTTATTATAATAGACCCACATAATATCCATGATCAATCTGAATTAAATTATGGATTAGAAACGCAGCTTAGGGCTGAAAGTTTTAGGCGCATCTAGTTAACCCTACACGCTGATTCACCAACAATGAAAATCAATTTGCATGTGTGTCAAAATCAAAATTGACAGACGGATTCGACCTTCAAAATAGACAGTTTTTCATAGTCGCAATTTGTAAAGACAAATCATTATTTTTTTGTCGCGGGAGCGGCTCCCATTTCAGCTTACGTAACAAATAAAAAATGGAAGCAAGTTTGGGGTTTATTTCAAAGTTTATAGCAGAATCTGAATCATGTGGCGCATATTTTTCAAAATACTTCCACAAAAATGAAATTTTCAAATTATAAATTAATAAATTTATTCAATTTTAGAGCGAGATTTCCCAAGGACTCAACTCTTTGTCTGAGAAAGCGAAGCAAGCGAAGGACCTCGTCGCAAACTTCAAAGGGTCTTCCGAAAGTCTTCAGGAGGACGCAGTGTCCTTCGAAACCAGAGTGGTCTGCGAGTTCGACGCCGTAATCGAGGCACTGCAACGTCGAAAAGAACAATTGATAGCTGAGCTCGAACGAGAAAAGCAGCGAAAGCAGCAAGTGTTCAAAAAGAGCAGTCACGAATGCACACAATACTTGAGGCAGACGACCGGTCTGATCGAATACTGTCTTGAGGTTCTTCAGGAGTCGGACCAAATAAGCTTTTTACAGATTTCGGGACCGGTGATTAAACGTGTGTATGAAGCTGACATGCAGTGGCGCCGAAAACTCCACGAAGAAGGCGACGACTCGAACCGCTCGTTTCGCTACAAAATAGACTGCTCACATGTTCGTAAACTAGCCGAGGAGCTGAACTTTTGCAAACTCGAAACTCCTACGACGCCGTTGATCGTAACCGACGAGTGTTACGCCGAAAACAACAGCGTTTCGTTCTCGTGGCGCGCACACTCTTCTACTTGGGTAGATGGGTACATTTTGGAGATTGATGATGGAAAAATGGGTAGATTCAGGGAAGTTTATCGAGGCAAGGAAACTGTTTGCACTATTGACGGGTTACATTTCGGTATGTCGTACAGAGCGAGAGTTCGTTGTTTCAACGAGTGCGGTGTAAGCTCGCACAGTGATGTCGTCGCGCTGAGCACTTCAAAAGTGGCTTGGTTTACTTTGAACGGAGATGACGCTCACAGCGACCTAATTCTGTCGAACGCGAACTCGACCGTTACGAGCAGCAGTTTCGACGAACGAGTAGTTCTCGGAAACATTGGATTTTCGAAAGGTAAACACTACTGGGAAATCACGATTGATCGCTACGACAGCCTACCTGATCCCGCGTTCGGTGTAGCACGACAAGATGTTCCTAAAGATTGCATGCTTGGCAAAGATTCCAAATCATGGGCGCTTTACATCGACCGGAAACGCAGTTACTTCATGCACAATAACGTTCATTCACAAGGAAACAGCGGAGGTATCGGCCTGGGAAGCGTGATCGGAGTTTTGATCAACCTGGAAAAATACTTGCTCTCGTTTTTTGTCGACGGGAAATTTTTGGATACTTTTGTACTACATGATGTTGGGGGAGTTTTCTACCCAGCTCTAAGCCTCAATAGAAATGTGCAAGCTACGATTCATACGGGCCTCAACCCTCCAGATTTCAGCTAAAATGAAACCCCAGAAATATGCAATACAGCCTGTTTGAATTGAAGACAATAAATTATCAGGGAAAGCTCTAGAAATAAAAAATCATGGGAAACACGGACTTGTTTGAACTGTTCATCGCATTACTTTCTGCGTAGTACTTAGTCAGTTTTTCATTAGACGTTTAAAGATCATAGATCATCATGATATTTACTGACCCAATATTGAATTTGACAATGCGTGCTTTTAACAATCAAAAACTATTTTCAATCATTTTTATCAGAAGAAGCTAAGAAATCAGAAAAGAAAAAGTAGAAAAAACCAGGCCAAGGTTTCGGTGAGTGGGGCCCGATACGAGCATGATCTGTGACAAAGAAGGAAGCCACTCAAGATAAATGGTTTGGTCTGTCTATCTTATGCCGAAAAATTAGAGCAAGTCTGACACTCGACTAAATATTAGAGTTTCAACTTGAATAAAGCTGTTGAACTTCAAGGACCATTTCTAACCCTATTTACCGTATCCAGCGACAATTTCTTCAAAATCCGCGATAACTCTTCTAAAATCATGCGATAATGTTTGACATCAGCAAAGCAGTTTAGGCTGTCAAAAAATCAAAAGAGAAAGCTAATTGATATAGAATTGGAGATTGCAAAACGATCTCGATACCAGGAACTTAATGAGTTTTTAGCCTTCTGATAGCAAAAATATTAATCACTCTAAAAATTATCAAAAATGTCTGAAATTGGGGACAACTTTTTTTTTATTCTAAAACCAACGTTTCTGGCCGTAGACTGCGCTACGATTCATCACTTGGATGTCCGTGCACTAAAATTTTTCTGAATTTATGTCTAAAAAAGATCAGTTTTCGAAAATTTATTAATTCAATTCGAACTCAACTTTTACTTTTGCAATAATTTTTGTTGATAAGATGAAGTTTTGAAATTTTAGTACAACAGTTTTGAGCTTAGAGTGAGAAGGTGGTATTGTTATTCAAGAGAAAAATAACCGATATAGAATTTGGTATTGTAAAATGGTCTCGACACCAGGAACTCATTGAGTTTTCAGCCTTCTGATAGCAAAAACTTAGATCACAATGAAAATTATCGAAAATGTCTGAAATTGGGGACAATTTTTTTAAATTCTAAAACCAACGCGTTTCTGGCCGTAGACTGCTTAAATCATAATGCGCTACGATTCACCACTTTGATGTCCGTGCACTAAAAATTTTCTGAATTTATGTCTAAAAAAGATCAGTTTTCGAAAATTTATTAATTCAGTTCAAACTCAAATTTTACTTTTGCAATAATTTTTGTTGATAAGATGAAGTTTTTGAATTTTTAGTACAACAGTTTGGAGCGTAGAGTGATAAGGTGGTATTGTTGTTCAAGAGAAAAATAACCGATATAGAATTTGGTATTGTAAAACGGTCTCGACACCAGGAACTCATTGAGTTTTCAGCCTTCTGATAGCAAAAAACTTAAATCACAATCAAAATTATCAAAAATGTCTGAAATTGGGGACATTTTTAAAAAAAAATTTAAAACCAACGTTTCAGGCCGTAGACTGCGCTACGATTCATCACTTTGATGTCCGTGCACTAAAAATTTTCTGAATTTATGTCTAAAAAAGATCAGTTTTCGAAAATTTATTAATTCACTTCAAACTCAAATTTTACTTTTGCAATAATTTTTGTTGATAAGATGAAGTTTTTGAATTTTTAGTACAACAGTTTGGAGCGTAGAGTGATAAGGTGGTATTGTTGTTCAAGAGAAAAATAACCGATATAGAATTTGGTATTGTAAAACGGTCTCGACACCAGGAACTCATTGAGTTTTCAGCCTTCTGATAGCAAAAAACTTAAATCACAATCAAAATTATCAAAAATGTCTGAAATTGGGGACATTTTTAAAAAAAAATTTAAAACCAACGTTTCAGGCCGTAGACTGCGCTACGATTCATCACTTTGATGTCCGTGCACTAAAATTTTTCTGAATTTATGTCTAAAAAAGATCAGTTTTCGAAAATTTATTAATTCAATTCAAACTCAACTTTTACTTTTGCAATAATTTTTGTTGATAAGATGAAGTTTTTGAAATTTTAGTACAACAGTTTTGAGCTTAGAGTGAGAAGGTGGTTTTGTTGTTCACCAATTCGCAAAATGGGAACAATCTAAGGCGTAGAATGTGTTTTTTTAAAATCTTTTTTTTTTACTATCTCAATGACAAATTTTTGTCTGCTTTCAGATAAGTTGTCTCAGCACCATGAGAAACAGATCTAACTGCTGTGATTTAATCCAATTGTTGTTATAAACTTATTAAATAGGTTTGTTATGTTGCGGCGATCCGAATTTTTGTTAAAACTGGGAAACTGGGTCGCCCTTGTCTACGAAAGGATTTTAGAGGTCCGGTTGTATGCAGCTGGAAGTGAGGAGAGCATACGTGTTTTTGAGTATTCAGCGGAAATCAACCGACTAACAAATATTTCATATCGAAGAGTTCATCCTTGTTTTAGTTACACAGCCGGAAAGCTTCATAGCTGATCACTTTGATAGCATCAGATTCTTTGAAGCTTGTCAAGTTTTCTGGCGAACTCGGGTTGACTCCCATTGGTTAAGAGAAAGCTTGGTGTGCTCAAGTGTCTGCATTTTATTTTTGTTACATACTATGATGTTTTGTTGTAGCGACGTTCCTCAGAGACTTTTATCGAACCTAAAGCCAAGCATCCGATTTTGGGGAATTTGCTCAATATGGCTGATCAAGTGAATACGGCTGATGAGTTTTTTACGAATGCTGGTTATGTAATGGATCTTTACTTGGGGAGGAATCTTTTACTTGCTTAAAACATCGTTGTCAATCAATCCATTTCAAATGTAATAGAGCTGCGTCACCAGCATCTAATTTGTCCAAAAATGGACTTCTGTCGTGGTCTTTTATGGAGTGTGCCTCGGTCATCAGCAATTTTGTTCAACGGCAATTTTTGTAATTATCTCGAAAGAATCTGCGGGCGACCAGCAAAAGTTAAACCGATGCCGAGTAAATCAAACAGAAACAAACAGAAATTGATTAAGTGTTTGAGAAAGATAAAAGAAAGGTGGTACAGAGAAGCAGCCATTTTTCAGTGAGGTTATACGATGGAAGTCTGCTGCAAACTTGCACAGGAATTCCAGAGCTGCATCCGCGTCAGATAAGATTGCAAAAAAAACGAATAATTGGCCAAACATTTTGCGAAACAAAGCAGCTAAAATTGAACCAAATTAAACAAGAAACAGATAAGCTCAGCAATGGAATTATGTCGATATATGCAACACTGAAGTAACTTGTCAGGTCGTGATTGACTATTGCAAAAAAAGGAGTGGATCCCACAGCATTTTGAATGGCATCGAAGTAAAACTCAAAAGCTAACGCTTTTTCACCGTAATTCTCCTCAAAATTCTAACAAAACGATTAATTTTTATAATTTCCGGCCCGTAAGAAATGTGTACCGACAGTTCAGACTCAATGAAGATGGAAACACGTGGTTGAAAGCTTTGAAGAAAGATTGGCTGAAAAGCGAAAAACGCAAATTATCAACTGTTGTCGGTGAAAAGTCAGATCTCTCCGAAATTTTTTTTGCATGTACAGAACATCATTATATCATTCGAGCTTTTTTATTTCTCACCAAATCATGGGTTAAAGATTAAAAGATTAATAAACTTGTTCTGGTTGGCTCTACTTTAAAAAGGTTTTATCTCTGCTAATAGGAACGATAAAATAGGAGGTTGATTACTGCTAATATACAACACGAAGTATCAAGTAATCAAGATCGAAAGTTTCGAAAATGACAGAATAAAAATTCGTCAAAAAATGACCGTCGGCATTTTTCGTGGCTTTCGTGTTCAAATTTTTTAATCTAGTAACGCATTATCGATCGAATGCGTTTGGAACGAACTATTCCCCAAAATGAACTCGAGAAATTGTACATGCGGGTTCAAAACATATGACAGCGGCAGCTGTTTATATTGGCTTGAAAACCATCCAAGCTGTCTATCCTTTTTATGCAGATGAATTATTGAAAAATTGAATTACTGAACATATGGTGAAGTTCTAGACTTGGTGAATATTGGCCACTAGTCCCCATTGTTGAAAGAAACATCAATGAAAGGCAATGAATTCAGCAATTTTCGAAAAATCACAAACCTCTCTATAATCAGCAAGATTCTTTAGAAACATGTGGCTTAAGCATTGATAAATCATCTCCATGGTAGTTGTATGTTGTGCTCAAACCAGTCGACTTGTTTATCGAAGCACTCAACTGAAAAAACATTGCCGAAAGCCGCTTCTAGTTTCGCTGCAAAGACCGATAAAATAAAAAATGTACTGATAATTTGTATTGACCTCAGCCGTGCTTCCGATACTCTGCATCACAACAGAATGGGCATAACGGATAAATACTCACCTGGTTTCACATTTGTTTGACTGGCAGAACTGACTTTGTGATTTGAGAGGGCGTCAAACTATCCAGGCAAAAATTAAAAAGCAGCTGCATTGGCTGCCGACTAAACGTCAAAGAAAATTTATAATTGCAACGCTTGTTTTCAAAGTTTTGGGAAGTTACTAAAAGCCAAGATATCTCTAAAACATGTTAAGCCCCTGTTGCGTTATGGAAGAACCGGTGAATCGATTCTCAGAGTGGAGGAAGAACGAAATATATCCAGCAAACTTTTTCTTTTACTACTGCTGCCATTTGTAACAAAGTTCCAGAAGATATTCGATGTGCGCAGTCTTTAGAAATTTTGAACCAAAATGTGAAGGCTCATTTTTAAAATATTATATCAATTCTTAGTAAATTTTGTAATACTTTGTACAAAAAAACTACTCTGTTCTTTATTCTTAACTGCATAACTTTGGGGTTTTATAGTAAATAAAGCAAATTAGTCGAAAGCTGACAACCATTCATTTTTTGCTGCCGCATTTTTTCGATCTAAAATAAACCCCAATCTTGTAAAATCTTCTAATTCAATCACCTTTTTTAGACAAACAACCTTTATTCTTTAGACTTAATGGCGTGGAATATGAAAAAAAATGTATTAGAGGGTTTTTTCCCCATTTTAAAGTTCTTTTTTTAAAATTGGAAATTTTTTCAATTCAGTGTGGTGAAAAAGTTCTGTGGTACTTGCACAGCAACCGGCTATCTAAGTGTAAATTGAAAACTGGGTTTGGAAACTTTTGTTTTCAGAAAATTGTTTTCTTGTTCTCTCCAATTAACCACTGAAAACTTTTAGATTTATTAT